GCTAGATTTTTGTAATACTATGATTGTGTTTGTTGTGTTTGAGGCTGTGATACAAGCACTGGTATTTATATATGGGAAATTAAAAGAAAACACCACATGGGAAATATTTTAATCCATTTCGGACTTAGCCAACGAGACTCTTTCTTATGTTTGAACTTCGCGGCTAGCTAGACACGCGGTTTGATTAAACAAATTGGAAAATGGAGAGCAGTTAAGAACAAGATTAAACTTTCATAAAAGTGATTGGTAGCACCTAATTTACTTGAAACATAAGCATATATAGGTTAAAGATGAGAATTTGTCAAGTAGACGAACAATTTGATGAGGATAGCTAGAGGTTATTATCTTTTGGTATGTGATTAAGAATTAATCTTTCCTTACAAATATATTTACGATCATCTCAAGATTCAAATATAAAACTTTCAAATACTGAGAAATTGAAATGTGATTTGAAGCAAAGGGTAAGAGATTTGGGTTAGAGGTAAGGGGCAAACACGCTATTCACTTTTATGAAGGCAATTATGTAACTTAAATTAAACTAGAGAAAATGTCAAATATTAGTTTATAATAACTTATATATAAGTGTTTATAAATAAAATATTTTAAAATATATAATATTATTAATAATGTGAAAACGATCTGAATAGTGTGAATAAGTGCTTGTTAATTTTTGTATTTATATTTTAACCATTTAAAATAATTTTATATATAGTGTTTTACAACTAACTATAATTGTTTAAGGAGTGAGTCAAACAATATATAATATTATAAAGAATTAAAACAACAATCCACCAATCTTTACTTTATTCCAAACGGACAAGTAATATTTTGCGTATGTATAGGTATTTATAAATAAAATATTTTAAGGTATATAATATTATTAATAATGTGAATATGATTTGAATAGTGGGAATAAGTCATTGTTAATTTTTGTATTTATATTTTAACCATTTAAAATAATTATATATATAGTGTTTTACAACTAATTATAATTGTTTAAGGTGTGAGTCAAATAATATATAATATTAAAAATTAAAAAAATTAATAAATAAATAAATAAATAAATAACAATCCACCAATCTTTGCTTTATTCCAAACGGACAACTAATATTTTGCTTCATTTTTTAAATTATATACAGTTTATTTTTACCTTGCAAATCCTAATTGACACTCAATATATGTTGAATATATCAAAGTAGACCTGGTAGTAATCCTTCCTTTCATCTCAAGGAATCGCGACGTCTTTATATTAGGACATGTTATGCGTATATCATTTCGGGGAAGAAAGAACCATGTTGAAGGCTCATTTTTTTTCCACTTTGGCCTAAAAAGTGGTGGTGGAAACGAACCCCACCTGCTAACCTACTTGTTATAAATGGGTTAGACTGAGTCCGAATTCATTTATGGTCTGATCCTTTTTTCCTTGTGGGAAAGGGGTGATTTTAAACAATGCCAAGGCTTCGAGGGTCCACCTTCACATCTAAAGGGGCTGACAGCCTAGCTGCATATGGTACGGTCATCGTTTGAAAATTCGGGTTGATTCAATCAAATTAAGTAAACTTGGTTATAAAATAAATAGGGTGTGTTCTAACTTGTTTGGAAGAAAAAATTGATAAAACTCGGCAAACTTAATCATCCATTGACTTGACCTGATCAGTGTCAAAATCAATTTTTTAAATTTTTTTTATGCAATTTATTTTTTGAATTGCATGCATTTTTAATTAAATTTAAGTTTTTAAATTGTTTTTAAAGTGATTTACAATTTTGTTTAACGGTAATGTTCTAAAAGTAGGGTAATAATCTCAATATGTAGTAGTACTAAAATATACAAAAATATTAAAATAATCAATTTTTTAAGTCAACGGATCAAACCAGTTGGTTAAACCCATTAAACCAGATCCAAGCCAAAAAAAGCCGATCATTGACTTGGATTTTAAAACATTGCTTATGATGACCTAACCATTTTAATCAATCTGAAAGTTAAAGGATCAGGCCCAGCATGTGCATGAGATTTTTTATTTTTATTATTATTTATGTAGTTAATCACAGATCAATTACCGTTCACATGTAAATTTTAATAAATTTCAACAGAATCAGTAGGAAATTTTAATAAATTTTAAATTTTAATTTTAATTTTCATAAA